AGATATCATCATCACATGCCTGGATAGTCTATAGTCTATGGCCTTGTGTCCATCTGAGCTACTTTGAGAATATTTTGAATTTCCAATTTTTAAGTAAATTTTAATGACATGGTAATTGTTTTTATGAATTTCCAGTGAAGGGTGAGATGGTGTGACAGCTGTCAGCAAAGTGTCAAATAGACTGTGGCAGTGAAGGTGAGAAGATTTAAAAGCCCCTATTCGTGATAGCCTTTATTTGGTCTGATACCAAGCTGATAAAAATTGGTATCCACTGAAAAAATCATGTTTACCCATCCCCATAATCCCTACACTTCCTGTTGTTTTTTCTGGCCTCAGCTCTCCCAAGCTTCTTTCAGTTGTTTTCAGAGATGATATCAGTTGTAGAAATGATTCTGCCCTAGACTTGTGCCAGTCCCAATTGAGTTTTGAAGTACTTATCATTTCTAATAACCCATTAAATGGGGCCCAAACTATTAAGTCACATATTAAGACCTAGGGCTTCTTATCCCTAGGAAGATCACTGAGCTTACTCCATGTGGTAGGAGGAATTCTGAGATGGAACTTCATAATCTCCAGTCACTAAGCAGCCTCCCTCCCCTTGAGTGCAGGTGGAACCTGTGACTTGATTCTAATCTAGGGAATGTGGAAACAGTGATGGGATGTGACTTCTATGATTACATTACACTATGTATATAAGACTCTGTCTTAGCATGCTGGAGTGTAAGGAATTTTCCTGTTGGTCCCAAAGTAGCAAACAGCCTTACTATAAACTGCCAGCAGAGAGGGCCACATATTAGGGAACTGAAAGTAACCTCTATGACCCAGTGGGGGCCAAGAGTTGATATCCAGTAAGAAGCCAAACAGCCACAAAGAAATGAATTCTGCCAACAACCTGAATGAGCTTGGAAACTGATTCTTCCCCAGTTGAGTTCCAGATAATACCACAGCCCAGAGAACACTTTAATTATTTGAGAGGCCTTGAACAGAGGCTCCAACTAAGTCAGTCATGATTCCTGACCCACAGAACTGTGAGATAATAAATATGACTTGTTTTAAAATATGAGCTTGTGGTAATTTGTTATGCATCACAGAAAACGAATACACTCCCAAGCCTCTTTTTCTTCCAGCTTGACCTGGACCAGGCACCCCAGGGTTGATTTTCTCACTGTTCCTAATTGAAGCCTTTTGAATCCAAGAGCTCTAATCCACAGAATTGAAGTTTCAGCTTTGGTCACTTTTCTAAGAACCATTCCTCCCTCATCCCTACACAAACACACACATACACACACATACACACACACCTTTCCACATACTTGTCAACTTGTAGATTTGTTGAGCCTTGTAGATTCACCTTACCTTACTTTACCTTACCACCTTACTTTGGTGAATCACATATTTCTAAATATACAGGTCTTAACTACTGCAATTCTCATATCCCTCACAAAGATTGGCACAAAGACTGTCCAGTATTCAGACATTATCCATGAATGGGTCTCCTGATCAATAACCACCTGCCAGCTGGATTACTAGAAATATTTCCCTGAATCCTCCCATCTCCAATTCCTTGTATCACTACCTCTTAGGTTATCTTTTCCCTTATTGTAGACTCTCAGTGTTGATGGGTTTACTTAAACTCTAACTTGAGATTACAATACTTATTGGATACTAGACTTTCTTACTTGGTCATTTATTTCAACCTCTACTTCCTTCTACATCTAAAACAAAACAAAACCAACAAGATCAACAACAACAACAAAGCAAAAACAAAGGCCCGCCCATTAATTCTAAGAATAAAGCAAATTCAGTATTAAATGCTTATTTAGTATGGCCAGCATATTAGTACTTCTATATACTGATATAGATGTATGATTTAATTTTGTGTATGTTCAATTTTGGGGCAATAGAAATGAATTGTAATGTCAAAAGAATATTTGCAAAATGTTTGCATCCCTTTATAGGCCTTGAAACAGTTTTTTTTTTTAAAAAGGAAATCTATTATTTTTAACAGATCTAAATTGTTATGAAGTATTATAATTAACAAATCCATTTTATGATATATGTTACACTTCTGATAAACTTGAGGCCATCATGGGGCTATCTTGAACAGGTAAGAACATTCCTTACCAAATTCATGTGAGAAAGTTATGTGCTTTCATCTATCATACTATAGTTTTTATAAATTAATTGCAGCAAACATTGGGTATTTTCTATAGTATATAATGTAATATATACTGCCTTTAATAGATCATTATCATTATCAATAATAAAAACTACCAACTATTTAGTGCTTACTAAAAGGAAGGCATTATTTAAAATGCTTTATGTACATTATCTCATTAAATCTGGGCAAAACATGATATCAAAGGAGTGATTAATCCCATTTCACAGATGAGAAACTAGAAGATTAAAGATACTAGATAAACTTCAAAAGATAACACAAATGTAAATAAGGATTTAAACCCAGGCTTTTCCGACATGTCCTATTATGGTGTGCTAGTCTAATTCATTTCCTTTATCTACACAGTCAAATAAGCTGTGTTGCTGTAAGGTTTCTAAGTTTTAAAGTTGCACTGAAATATAGTATATGTGATTAACCTAAAACAAAAATCTGCATTCTTTTCAGCTCACATCTTATTTGGATTTAATATATACAAGCACATATGTGTGCATGTGTATTACACATTAATAAATTTTTGATTCAGCAATTACTTATAAATAAAAAGTGCTAAATATATCATAGATAACACTTTCAAGAAAACAGCCAATGCTAATCATAAATATTAAAACCAGAATGACTGGGATTTCATTGAGTCTGTAAATTAAATTATGGATAATTCACATCTTAACAATAGTGAGTTTCCAAGGACATTATATATTTTTCTATTTTCTTAGGTCGTCTTTAATTTACTTCAGCAGTGTTTTGTAGTTTCCAGAGTGTAAGTGTTGTGCATATTTTACTAAATTTATCCCTGAGTATTTCATGGTTTTGATGCTATTATAAATAATTTTAAAATTCTAAATTCCAATTGTTCATTACCAGGGTACAGGCACAACTGATTTTTTTTAATGTTGGCCTTATATTCTTCCACCTTATTAAAGGTGCATATTAGTTCTAGTAGTGTTTTTGTACATACCTTAATATTTTATATACATATAATCATGTTGTTTTAAAAACTTTTACTTTTTTACTTACTAATCTGTTTAACTCTTATTTTTCTTGTAGTATTGTACTACCTAGGACCTCCAGTACAACCCTGAAAAAGTGGTGAGGTCAGTTATCCATGCTTTGTTTCCTATCTCAAAGAGGAAGCATTTTGATGCTTTATGGTTATGAAATTCTTTATGATTTAGGAAGGCATCATGGTTAACTATGTGGTTACTATAGGATTTTATAGATAACTTTTCTCAGAATAATGAAGTTCCCTTATATTCCTAGTTTCCTCAGAATTTTTATTATGGATGTTCAATTTTGTCAAATGCTTTTTCTGCATCAATAAAGATAATTGGTTTTGCTCCTTCATTATGTTAGCATGATAATTTACACTGATTGACGTTTGAAAGTTAAACAACGCTGCATTTCTGAAATAATCCCCACTTGGTCATGATATATTATCCTTTTAAAAATATACTGTTGGATTCAATCTGCTAATATTTTGGTAAGGATTTTGTTCGTAGGAATATTGGTCTGTCATTTTCTTTCCCTTTAAGGTCTTTGTCTAGTTTTGATATCAAGTAATTACTGCCTTCTCAAATGAGTTAGGAAGTGTTTCTCCTCCTCCTCCTTTTTATATATGGTTATATTTAGAAATAAATGTCCAGAATTCAGTTTTACCAGCATAATTTCTGCTTCACTTCCCCACACATCCATCCCCCAGAGATAATTCCTTTTACTTACGTGTTTCAAAACCTCAGTGTGTAGCTCCTTCATATTTTAAAATAGATCAATATAAAATCAGTTGGCCTTGTAGAAATAATTTTGTAGAAGTATGAACTATGAGAAGCAATGGGGTGCAAAGAAATTCTAAGTATCATCAGAATACTGTGTTCAGAAAATAACTTTGATGTTTTCAAATAAGTCTTTGTGTGATGAAGACTACTGCTCATATAATGATTAGGTTTCAAAGTAAAACATATAATATAGTCAAGATCTTATTGAATTCTAATTATATACAAAAGGATAGTTTTCTAATCGCTCTCAAAAGGGCTTTTTTTTTTTTTAAGATTTTAAGAGTCATCTCCTCAAATTCCTAATATTCTTAATTGGTTTTATAAATTCTAAGGAAAAGAGTCAAAGTAACTGTATTTGTTAAATGTGTGTAGTGGGAAAAGCACCAATTTAATGTGTTAATAACAACATTTAGATTGTTGAATAAGAAAAACCAAGCCTAAGTTACTTCAAGTTGAATAATTTCCCTTAGGAATATCACTCCCACTAACATTTCTAAGTTTCTCTTACAGTATTATCACACCTATTATATAGTGCAGCTTTTCAATGCAATGTGTAACTATCAATTATTCTCAGAAATATAGCTCTCGTATTAATTGCTAAGAGACTTTATCCTAACCACTTGTTATGTGGTGAATTCAGCATCATGGAGAACCACTACTGTGGAAATGCTCCTTCACACTGTCCCTACCAGAACTCAGGTGACAACATGGAACATTAGACCATTCAGGGTAAGCCATTCATTAAGCGATTAACTTTGTCTGACCCAGTTTGTCAAATTTTTGTGTTCTAAATGTCAATTTCTATTCGCTTGATTTCTTTCTACTTGGTTTTGCTAGACTAAGAATTAATTGACTTTTTCAAGGAAAAGCAAAGGAAGTAAGACTTTCAGGAAAAGTAAACTCAGAGGACTCTTGGGGGAAAAATTAAGTACTGGTGAGAATCATCTTTAAGTTAACTAACCAGTTTGGGAGGTAACTGAGATTCTTGCTTCATCCTTTTTGCCTAACACTGCCCCCCACCCCCGCCCTACATTTTACACTTGGGTACTTACTACTGTTTACCCTGATTCCACAGCACATGCCAAATCTAAGAAAACTTTCAGTAAAGCATTTGCTTAGACCAGATCCAATTTCTTCTACCTAAAAAAAAAAAAAGTCAACTTACTTTATAATCTAGTGATAGAAAGTCAGTAGTTATTATTATACATAATCAGTTCATTATTACTATTTCCATCGGAAATAGAGAACTAAAAGGAGATTCAACTAGACACACCTTTCTGCTCTTTTTTAGCATGCATCATGAGGGATTTAGTGATCAAGGAATTTATAGCTACTGGCTAAAAAGACAGTTTAAAATGATCTGTGAATGTCTTTCATCCATGCTGATCCATTACCAAGGATAATCAAAAGTTGGCTAAAAAACCTCCAATACCTCGTCAAATACATTATTTTCGACGGTTAACTTAGAGGAGACTGTTAAATGGTTTCTAGTAATCCTTCAGGTGAACAGAAAGTAAATGATTATATCTCAGACTGGGGGAAAAAGTATACTTTTAAACTTATTTCAAGGTACTTTTATTATTTACTAAGAGCACCATATCTGCTTGTTGTGAACCGATTTATCCAAGCCCTAAAAGATATTCTCTAAGGTAATTAATATTGCCAACCTAATTAAAGGTTACAATATGTCAAAACAAATGCAAAGGGCTGAGGAGGGTAAAAATATTTTGTTTTGTAAGTTTTCAGTGTTATGTCAGTGCAGTCATTTTTAAAAATCCCAGTATTTCTGGTGTTAATATTATCAAAGAAAGGGATGATCAATTCTGGGAAGAGAAAATGGCTGTCAGAAATGTTAAGGATAAAAGATTCATAATCTTAGAGTATCTTGACACTGAGATGTGATTTAAAATAAGACGAAGTGGGTAAAGAGTCAAAGATCATTCCCAAGTTTCTAGTATACAACTGTGTGCCAGTCATTGAAAATGGAAACTCTGGATAAGAAGTATTTAGAAATAGGAAATTAAAGCTCATGATGAGGTCTGGAATGAAGAAACATTTGAAAGTCATGAGAACATGAGAAATAGAAGTTGCTGAAGATTTGGGTAAGTTATTTTAGGAGATGACCTGGAATGTGTAAGAAGACAGAGGAGGGAATCCTAATGGCCAACAACATCTAAGGGTTTATTTGAAAGGTGAGGAATCATCTAAATAGACTTGAAAGGCACAGTCTAAAAAATAAACAATACATAGGTAAGCTCTCAAAAGGCAGGCATGATGTTTATATTGCTTGTCATTGTATGTATTCAGGGCACCTATTACACTACCTGGAACACAATGGGTCAACATTTGTTAACTAAATGAGCAAACAACCAAGAAAGTGGTGTCCTGTCAAACCAAATGCATAGAACATGTCAAGGAGAAAATAATTTACAGTAGTGACTATTGGATTTGGCAATTAGAAAGTCATTAAAAATCTTAGCAAGAACATCTTCCATGGAGGGGTGCCTGGCTGGCTCAGTCGGTAGAGCATGCGACTCTTGATATCAGGGTTTTGAGTTCAAACCCCACATTGGGTGTAGAGATTACTTAAAAATAAAACCCTAAAAAAATAACTTCTGTGGAGTTTTGGTGGTAAACTGGAATGCACTGAGGGGCAAATGCATGATGAAGCCATGGAGATGTTGAAGACTGATGTCTTTCTCAAAAAGAATGGCAGAGAAGAACAGGAATTATTAATAGTTAAATCTAAGAAGGAAATATTATTGAGAACTTTTTCATAAATTGGGAGAGATCTGAGCAGGTTTATGTGCTGGGTAAAAAGCCAAAAGACAGAAGAAATTGAAAAGGCAAAAAAAAAAAAAAAGGGGGGGTGATTAATAAAATATGGTCCCTGGGACAAGGGAATGAGTTCTAGATCAGAGATGGGGGGAAATCAGTCTAAGACCAGTGCAAAGTCCTCTCTATCTGCAGAAGGAGTAAGTGTGGGGAGTGAGCAGAAAAGAAGAGTCAAGGATAACACTGAGGTTTCTGATATAAGATGATGATCTGTACCTCTTACCTCTATATCTACATAAATAGGTGAGAAGAGTGAATGCAGGCATGCTCATTAGCATAGAAATAGGAAGTCTGAGGGCTTTTATGCTTCCAGTTTCTCAGGGAAGTAGCAGTGATGCCATCTTTTTAGAAGGGTTAGGAGTAAAGTAGGGATTGTGAAAAGAGTGGTAGATATTTGGGGCAAACTCTGGTAGTAGATTAGCGAATTAAATGGGGCTACATGGATATGGCTGGCACTGTCCAAATGAAGAGGAAATGATAGATTTTGGTTAGTTGTACCAATGTGATTCAGTGGTTTAATTGTCTATAGTGGCACTCAGCAGTCCTGTAACAAAAACCAAAAAGTGGATGGCAGGTTTAATTCAAAGCTAGAAGTTGACAGAAAAGTATGACAGAATGGATAGGAACCAGGGAGGTGACAGTGTTAAAATCGATGTACTTGGAAGTTAGACTGTGTGGAAAGGGAGGAGAGCAGTAATATTTTAAGTTTACAAGAAAGGGGTGGCAGTGACTGAAGTGCTTCAAGAGTGCGAAGGGGAATAGAGGGAGTAAAGGAGTGTGGGAGCCGCAGAGCTAAGAGATTATGGTCCTGAATCCCTCCAACAGGCTGGGAGAGAAGGGGCCCAAAGTACAAGGCAGATTTATCTGCGTCTGGTTCCACACCTAAATGGAATCATCCAGTGCCGACCTTAGGTCAGCTCAGATGTTTACATGAAAAAGCCAGAAGCAGCAAGAACAAGAGGACAGGTATAAGCACCCTAGGGCAGTCAGGGCACACATTAAAAATGCCACTATTTGTGTGGCATGCTACAACAAAGAAATGAGGCTTCCTGAAGCTGTGGATGACTGGATCAAGGGGTCACCTACTGCTTGGCACACATCCCAGACACACTATCACCCATTCTAATCCATTCACTGCTTGTACACCAGAACACACTCCTTTAGGAAAACTCTGCCTTAGGAAACCCTGAAGGACAAAATCAAGAAAATCAAATGACTAATGACAAAGGTCAGAAAGTTAAGGATGAGAGGTACAAAACAAAGATAATAGGATCTGAATCCAGGCAAACACTGGACTGGACATGGGGGAAAAGAGCAAGGATAGGAATGAAGGAGGAGTCTTCAACTCTTGTGTGACACCTGACATGAGCCTCTGATACATGGATGACTCAACATAGAAGATGGTGAACATGAAGGTGATATTTGGAGCCCTTAACTCCAGGAATAGGTATTTCAAGGTGAAAAGCAGTAAGGTTTACTTCCACTAGTTTTAATTATTCATATAACATAAAACCAAGTATTAGAGGCAATTAATCAGGAAATTTAAAAACCTAGGTAATTTAAAGGAGTTTTTACGAATGAAGTAATAGTGCTCTGGGGGAAAAAGCAATCCAACCCATTATTTAAATACAAAAATTTACTTCTAAAAATATATCCTAATATTTTTCTGTTTGGCAACTGCACACACTAACAGGAAATTCTTTTAAGTCTGGGATGCTTATACGTATAGCCTTGCTTATGTGTCAGTAGGATACGAGATGCTTTATTCTGCTTGAACATCTTTGAAGGAATGATCAAACAAGCAGAATGTCATTTGCATTATCAAATGACCTTCATCTGTGATCTTCATAGAAAACAAACAGCTTTAAATGAGAAGAAGCTGTTAATTTGGCCATATTACAATAACAAGAGTTCATCACATGCTCTATCCTATAGTTCTGAATTATGGCACTCTTTTATGTAGTTACACTGTAAATCACTATTTATGGCATTTCTGCATTTCTAGCCAAAATATCCAGTAAATCAAATTGGAGATGAAATATTTTTGGCTTAAACCAATTCAATATGTTCTCACTTCTGACAGCTGTAAAACTCAAGAGTTATTTTACATCTCAGTGTTTGAAGTCTAAAAATCACAATTTTGGATGACCAGATGCACTCCAACTAAAATCCTGGAAATCTCATGATGTCTGGGAAATTAGCTGAGAGGGGCATGAGTAGGTCACTGTTACTGGATGAAATTCACAGGGGAAGCATAGCAAGGGACCATTAACTAAAGTCAAAAGCAAGAAATTATAAACAACAAAATTTTAAGAGCTATCCCAATTGGAATTAAGGTGTGCCTGTTAACAGGATGATGAAACAAACATATACTCTATTTTATTCTAGCTAGTCAGCTAATGGGGCGCCTGGGTGAGTCTGCCTTCAGCTCAGGTCATGATCCTGGAGTCCCAGATGGAGCCCCACATTGGGCTCCCTACTCAGCGGGGAGTCTGCTTCTCCCTCTCCTTCTGCCCCCCCCCCCCAGCTCGTATTCTCTAATAAATAAATAAAATCTTTAAAAAAAAAAAAAAGAAAGTCAGGTAAGGATAGAGTTAGAGCCCCATTTGAGTCTGGTAATTATTCTAACAAAACATTTATGTAGAAGGTAATCATTCTTCTTTGAGGCTGTTTTTAACAGTAAGAGAAGTAAAAGAGGACTGAAGGGATGAGCTAAGCAAGGAAATAATAATGGAAGAGTTCACCACTATAGAGGAATCTTGTCATGATTCTCTGAGGTTTTCCAAGTAAAAATGGCTATGCCAGTGTTATTATTTTAAAAGAATTTAGTAAAACCATAGAATTATTTGTGTACATGTACTAGAACAATTTAAATTTTGAAACATAGGATTTCATGTAGTCTTTGCTCTATTATTACTGGTTGAGATTACGATACTGGCTGCAACCACAATGTGGAGCTGAGCCTGTGGCCCTTCTGTTCTTATGTGAGCTGTCTTATATTCACTGGAATATAACTCTTGGAAATGCAGCATTTATGCTGAGTATTTCTGAAATCTTTTAAACGCACTTCACTTAGTGGCTATGACTACTACTTTAAAATAGCAAAGAAATATTTTTGGATTCTTGCCACTCTGTTTTTCCAGAATAGGTGGAATTCAAAAGTGAATTTTCATTCACAGTTATGTTAGAACACAGACTTCTTTCCCTTTGTGGTTGTGGACTGTTAGCAACTGTAGAACCAAGTGATGCTTTGGGAGGGTTTAGCCCTCTCTCTCTTAGCGGCCCCCCGCCCCTAGGCACCATTA